AACTTAACAATTACTTCAAATTCTTCTTGCTTTAAAAATGTTCATGTTTACTATAGTGTTTGTCAGTTAAGTTCTAGGATTAGTCATTGGCATCTTTCTTTAGCACAATGCAAAAATTTTTCATATCACAAATGATCTGAGACAAATTCAGAATTTTGATTTGAAATTTTGTTTTATTTTCAATATTTACCAGATATCTGATTAGTACTTTTTGCTATTATTTGCTAAAAAAAGACAAAAACCACATATATAACCAAATATTTTGAAATATGGAGAATGAAACTGAATAGTTTTTGTTTCTTGGAAATGAATTCTATTTGGAATTACTTTATGAACAAATACGTATAGTCTTCAACCTATATCTGGCGTGAAAATTCCAAACTAATATTGGCAAACGCTTTCGATGCCCCTCCTGGGCTCTTCTTCAGGCCAAATTTAATGTACTGGATTCTTAAATCGAATATTTTAAAATAAGAACATGCTCTGTTTCTAGAAGTTCAAATAAGGAAGGTAATCACGTGTTTTTCTGAATTATAATTTTTTTATAATTTATATTCGTGGAGATATGTTATGCGCATCTTATAATAATCATGCGTATTTTATAATCACGTGCCGTTTCTAAAAATAATTAACTAGTGGATATACGATGTGTGCATCCCATAATAATCTGGTGTATCGTATAATAAATTACGATTCATCCACCAATAAATACTGCCACGCTGTTGAGAGATTCATTTCTTCTTTAAGATTGATGCAGGTTGGTTTGCAATCTGCTTTGTAAATTTCCATCGCTTCCAAAGTTCTTAGATGTTCATGTTGACGAGTGGTGCGGATGACCCGTGCCTCATTAAAAATCGGGGTTATGTCCGGGTTTGTTGAAATCCTTGATTAATTACTTTATGAACTTGTATCTCATTGGGAAACATTTGTTATGATATTTAATTTTTGAAATAAATTTGTATTTATGTTTTATGTTTGTTTTATTTTTATATTTATAAACATGCAAATTTTTTGTGATTGATACATTTTTATGCATTTGTAGTGAATTCTGTACTTGGATTAAAACCTTTGCCAAAATTTAGGTTTATAAACTGACAGAAATGGAAATTGTTAGACTATGAAATACTATGAATTACTATGTAATTTGTTGGATTTATAAAGAACAACTGATTAAAGTTTAGAATTAATTCTAAAGCAGGGGTGTCCAATCCATGGCCCGCAGGCTGCATGCAGCCCAAGGCAAGTTCCAATGCAGCCCAATAAATGTGTAAACAAAACTGACAAATTTTTTTATTATTTATTTATTTCAACGGCATAAACCTCAAAAAAGAAGTTTCACAAAGCCGTAAACCTTTACACATTTTATTTTTTAATAGAAAGGAAATATTTTCAAATACTTGAAATCTGTGAATGAGGAAGAAATACTAAATAAAGCTGGAGTAGTGACTCAAAGAATTATGGCCCCAAATTTGGGGAAAGAAAAGAAAGGCCAAAAGATAAAAAGAAGTGAGAAAGGTTGAAAAATTAAGGATAAATATTTGCATAACAGAAGGTCTATTTAACCTTTTCACTTCTTTATTTTTTGACCTTTCTGTCCTTTCTCCGAATTTTGGCCTATAATCCTTTGAATACCAACTCTAGCTTTATTTAACATTCCTTTCAGCGTTGCAAGATTTGGAAACTTTGTGCCAAATTTGTCTATCTTTTTTTAGTTTGGCATAAAAAAATCATTTGGTGCATTAGGCTACATTTTGGGCTACATATTATTTATAAATATATTTGTTGAAAAAAAATGCACTTTAGAATGGTGTTTCGTTAGATATAACACGTTGAATTTTCACATTGATATTCGACTCTCTTTAACCTGAAGATGACAATTTAAAAATCATCAAAAATGTTTGTTTTTCATCAGTTTTAGTGATTATAATTTGTGCTGGATATTTCTATATTCATTAGACTTAATTAATCCAGTTTTATGTAGTATGTTTTTATTGCTGTTTATATAAGCTTGGTATTATCATATTAAAAATATCTTTTGGATTGTAGAGTTAAATGGTATAAACAGTGAATTTATCATTTTATATTCATTATATAAAGCCTATTGTAGCTGAAATAATAATCAAATTGGACAATTCTTTTCATATGTGATTTTCTCTCAAATTATGATTCCCGGTATTACAGATGTATGTGTCCTTTTATTAGTTAAACCAAGGTGAGCTCTTCAGCTCTTTGCAGGGCATATTAATTAACATAATTCAATTTCTGTCAGATAGAAATTGGACTCATCACTGAACGTTAGTCTATAATTCAGTAGTCCATACTAATCATAAACTAGATCATTCTACGTTGGCAAGGATATTGAGTTAAAGATAAATACTACATAGGAACTTGTGATCTTAGGTCAATCTCATGTAGTTTGTTTTAAATTATTTGTATTGACACCCTACTTACATACAGGAGAAATTGAATCATCATAAAATATATATTTTTTGTAAAAAAATCTTTGTTTCTGGACTTTAAAGATTGTTTTAAAGTGTTTGTAATTTTTGTGATGTACAGTACATGTTAAATATATTTCTCTTGATATACGTAGATGTACTGGAATAATAATTAACGACTTTACCTACATTACATGGTTAAATGTACTTTTAAAATTTATGCTGTTATGAAATCTTTGGACTATGATGTCTAGAAAAGGTAAAATACCATTATTTTCAATTTTTAGAGTCAAAAGTTATGATAATTACTACGTGGTACAGTTAAGGATTGTTTGAGGGTTGGTTAGAGTATTATCATAAATGATGAAATAATCATATACATACCTATTATATTCAAGTATTCCATGGAGGTTTCTAATAATTTGATCTATTTTTTATCATACCTAATTCAGCTAGTAATTGAATGGTATCTTCATGGGTTCAAGTACAGGTTTAGGGCCTGTACTTGAACCCATGAAGATACCATTCAATTGTCTAAAAATTTGGTATTAGAAATAAAATAATCATTATTTAAAACAAATTGAACCAGTTCAGTTACCCAATTATCATATTTTAAGTTAGTTAATGTATCAATTATAAATTTTTTATGTATAGATGGATACATATTTTTAACATCTAGACTCAACATTCTGCAGTTATTATTAATGTTAAATTTTTTATGGTTTTCAAGGAAAACTTTTGTGGTTTATAGTGAAGATTTATTATGTCAATGTAACCGTGTCCTTTGAACAAGGAGAATTGGTTTTTCTGTAGATTTGAATGATGTTGGATAGAGATAGGTGAATACTATTCATAAATAACCCAAATATTATATTGATGAAAGATAAATTTGAATTCTATCAATATCTCCTGTATTATGCCAAAGATACAGTGAAAGAATATATATACACTAAGATGGTCAACTCTGTCACAAAAGTGAAATCATAGCATAGCACTTTGAGCATGTTCCAGAACTATTAGTAAAAAAGTTGGTTGTATGCTAAATTTGTTATTTTAGCTTTTATAAAATACAGGTAGTTTCCATCTTTACAAGTTAATTGGTTCCTAGAAGTTATTTGTAAAGTGGAAACTAATTTTTCATACAAATAAATACATAATGCAAAATTACATTCTTGCATATGGATTTTAGATAGGAAAATGTTGAAAAACAACAAAAATATTTGACAACAAAATTTTTATTAGTATTATATTTGCATTATAATTAAAAAATAAAAATATTATATTTTTAACATGAATTAATTTATTTTCAAGGAAAAAATAAACAAAATCACTTCTTTAAATATTATTTTGTCCAAATGCTCAGTTTGTTCCATAGGCTGATTAGATGTTGTACTGGTGCATCTGTTGAGAAAATTCTCAGGATTTTTAATTTTTTTTTAAATATTTTTCTTTTGTTTCAAAATAGTACAATCAATAGAACTTATAGAATATTTGGTGCAAAGATCTTTAACAGTTTGCCCAGCTTTATAACTGCTTATAATTTTGTACTTGATTAATATGCTTTCTTACCACACCGGGTTGTATAACTTCACAACCAACAACTGCCTACCCTTAACCATTAACCGGTGCGAAATTCTTTAAAATCGGCGAACGTTTTCGATTCTCCTCCTGGGATCTTCTTCAGGCTTACTTCTTTATATCTTTCGTTATAACCGGATTCTTTAATTCGAATGTTTTTGAAAAAACGTAACGTGCTATTTTTCGAAAAAATTCCGAAAACGGAAGGAATCCACTTGTTATTTCAAATGTAATTTTCTACCAATGGGGAATCATTGTGTGCATTACGTCATAAAACTTGTCTTATAAACTATATTATGATTTATCGTCAATTAAAAATTGCCATGCTGCAGAGAGATTTATTTCTTCTTTGAAATTAATGCATGCGGATTTACGATCGGCTTTAAATATTTCCAGTGCCTCCAAAGTTCTTAGTTGTTCCGTGTGTTGGGTGGTGCGAATAACATGCGCTTCATCGAAGAAAGGNTGTTATTCGCACCACCCAACACACGGAACAACTAAGAACTTTGGAGGCACTGGAAATATTTAAAGCCGATCGTAAATCCGCATGCATTAATTTCAAAGAAGAAATAAATCTCTCTGCAGCATGGCAATTTTTAATTGACGATAAATCATAATATAGTTTATAAGACAAGTTTTATGACGTAATGCACACAATGATTCCCCATTGGTAGAAAATTACATTTGAAATAACAAGTGGATTCCTTCCGTTTTCGGAATTTTTTCGAAAAATAGCACGTTACGTTTTTTCAAAAACATTCGAATTAAAGAATCCGGTTATAACGAAAGATATAAAGAAGTAAGCCTGAAGAAGATCCCAGGAGGGGAATCGAAAACGTTCGCCGATTTTAAAGAATTTCGCACCGGTTAATGGTTAAGGGTAGGCAGTTGTTGGTTGTGAAATTTTGTACTTGTTTTGTCAAGTTATTGATTTATGTTGTTTTTTGTTGTTCGTAACAGTAACGGTATCATCTCTTCTTTTAGAAATGTTGAAAGAATACATGAAATTTTTGAAACCACCAAAATTAATAAAAATGAACTTATACACAGCTACAAACAAACAACAATACAGCATCTGCTCTTAATGATGATTTATTAAGAAAACAGTCATTCACTAAATCATGCATATGGCAATGTTTTATTAATATCATCTCTTCCAATGCAGTAATGAATTAGATTGTAAAATGGAAACTACCTATATGCTTAAAGTCTGCAAATGTATTGAAGTCTGTAACACAAGAAAAACTAAAAATGAGAAATCTCTGTTCCAATTTCCACAAGATAAAAAAAGGTAAATTTTATTCTTTATTCTCCTATTAGGCCTAAATATTTGTTATTGCATTAATTAAAGATGATTATTTAAGTGCACAAATTATATTTCATATATTATATATATATATTGATAATATATTTTGCATAATATATTACACACAAAATATGAATTTGGATAAATTGTTAATCTACGTATTTATGTCTCTTAACAATTTTGATATTAATTACAGATTAATTAAACAAAAAAGCCAGTATAATAAATAAGTATTTTGTTTATCAATTCTGGATATTCAGTTATATTAATAATACAGTGTTATTTACTTAACATTAGATAATCATATTGTATACTAATATCAAGCTCTTCCCGCCAATTTATCGTAACCAACAATTTTGCCAAAATTATGTTTTTTTTGTCTCAAACAAGTTACTATGCACTTCAAATCATGTCACAGAATTCTTGTAACATTACAGACCTTTAAAAAATTAGGAAGAAGAGAATTTTATTATAAGTTTTGTTTACATTTACTCTATATCATATGCGACATAAAAAACTAGGTAAATTTATCACAATTTCTCATAAACGTCACTTATAAAAAATATTTGCCAGATTGTGCTGCACATCTTAGTTCATTTATATTTTGATTTCCAACAGATAAATAACTTTTCTTGTTTTCAAAATTGAGTTTTTTGGTAATTAGATCACTTAAATCATAACATGTTTAAATTTAATGATAAATTATAAGTTATTAGCAAAGATCTTCTGTTAAACATGGATTTACCAAGAGCTGTTTCAAGTCAGATTACAACTGCCACACTTGTTGCATACAGTGATAGTGATTCAAACGACATCTCATATACTTTGATGGATCTTGATAATCAAATCATCATATGAGAAAATAAAACAGAAGATCCTAATTATGGGATTTCTGTTTTGGAACCAGGACTTTCCATTTTCAGCAATTTAATGCAAACTTACCGCAACCAGTACACGCAATGTTCAATGAAGATTATTTACAGACAAATACTGTTCATTCAGGAGATCAACTGACTCTTTTCCATATCAAACAGATGCCTTTCTTTGTAGTTCTGGTTATGCAGATTCTGAAGATTCTTGTCGTCTGCATTCTTTATGTACAGAATCAGCTGATTTAACACAAATTAAATTTCATCAAGTGCAAAGCATGTGCCACTTTAGTCTTTTTGGACCTGTAATAATGATAGCAAAAGTATTGTAACTGCCAAAACATGCCTTTATACTTTAAAAAAATAAGAAAAGTACTTTTATTAGATGAAATAGCCTAAAAATGTATTATATACAACAAATTTACTTCACAGCTAATGTGTAAGAGAAAATAATTTTAAAAAATCTTTTCCTGTAAATTTATTTTTTGTTGATTAAGATAAATTGGCGGGAAGGGCTCAATATATTGATTCTTTTGAATTAATTATATTGTTTTATTTTAATATATTAATTTTGTAATGTATTTTTATGAATAAAAATTGTTGTTTGTTTATTTATTTACTTTTTTCTTTGTAGATGAAAATCAATGGTAATGGTATCCAGGTTTGATTTGTTTCAAAACATATGACTAAAGAATTAAAACAAAGATTTTTTTCAGTCGTAAGAAGAAAAACTTATTAGACCTATTTATAGAAAATTTTAGAAAATATTTTTATATATTGTTTATTTAAACTGTATGTTTACATAAAAACAAAATAAAAAAGTATTTTTTCTAATCTGTGTTTTTAAATTTGTTTTAAATATTAAAAAATTGCTACTAAAATTTTAAATATATATTATATTAGATTAGTAATTTCATAAGAAGAAATGTCATCAATATAATTAATTATAAGACTTCAATATTTTAGAATGCATTATACAAAATTAACAAATATTAAAAATAATGTATGCAATTTTAGTTAGTTGTTAAAAGAATTATTCCTGGTAATTAGCTTTTTTGTAAAGCAATCAGTTGTCTTTTCATGCTCATATGAGTGCTGTAGTTGAAATTAATTTCAAGAGATTTCTATGAGAGTTGGCCATCTAAATGTATAAGAAGGAACCACTACTGTGACTACACAAAGCTGCATAGTCACAGTAGTGGTTCCAGAAGACTCAAATGGGACTAACTTAAAAATTTTATTAACACATGCACAATAATTTTATTGAAAATGGCATAATAAATCATGTTTGTTCTCATAAATGTTTTGAAGTTCAAATTGGTTGTCAATTTGTGTCAATCACCTTGAATCTGCCATTGCATACAGACCTCATCTCTTCAGCTTCTCTGATTTAATTTGTGACAAAAAAGAAGTACACTAAATCCTGAATTCTTATTTTCTTAAATAAAAATCTTTAGTAGGTGAAAATGAGAACAATTATTTATTAATTTATTGTAGTTGAGACAAGAGTACCTAAAAAAAGCTACTTTTAAAACAAAGTAAAAATTAAAGGTTTGAAATTTTATTTATTAAAATTTAGTAAATTACAGTAGGTGATCAGTTAATGAACATAATCTGTTCCAAGACTTTGTTTGTTATTCAAATTGTTCGTTAACTGATTATCGATTTACCATAGTTTTAATGGGAATTTGATTAATTCATTCCAGAGACTCCAAAAAATAAAAAATATATACTTTTTTACTATGTTTATTTATATGTAATAGTAAAAATACATATATATGCAGTCTTGCACTTTTATTAGTCATGTTTTTTCCGTTTTTGGGGTTAAAGAATCTGTCCAATGTCGAGTGCTTTTCTCTTTTCAGGATTTTTCAGAAGTAATTAATAGTATTGTAATTGTAGAGATCCCCAACCCCATTAACCTGATTCTGGTTTTGATGACACTTGGATGATTATTGTTCTGACATCCTCCCACTTCTTCAAAAGATCTTTAGTAACAGATGTTGACATTGGTCCTCTTTTTCAAAAGAAAACACATCTTGCTGAGTTTCTTGGTGTTCATTTGAGAGTTTTGGAGTTCTTCTGTCGTCAGATCAGTTTCAGGTTCCATTCCATCTGTAATGCTCTTTATTTCTCAGATGCAATTTTCATTACTCCATTAGCAGCTTGAGACTTCTTGATGTATCTTTCATAGCTAAGATTGTGTTTACTGTAGACCTGTTCAAGCCATACTGCCTAGCAACATCAGACATCTTGTGCCCACTTTCTACCTTTGCTATTCTCTTACTTGTTTCTAGGCCTTGATGAAATTTAAAATTTGGTATTAAAACGTTAACGAATATCTGAGAGGACAGTTAAACTTTCACTTTTTGTAAATAAGCCCTGACGCAAAACTTAACAAGTGTCCGTCTGACAGTCTCGCAAAGACTATAAAAAATTATTTGTCAGAAAGGTAAACAAAATGCTGGAATTACAAGGGAGGGTTTCAAAATTTGGAGGAATACTATCCAATCAGTATTGGATTGAGTGACGTCTCCCGTGCTCCAAAAGGTTTCAAATTGTTACCTGAAGACAAGGGAAAATCAATCAGTATTTGTTATTTTCTGTCACTTCTTTTTGTGTTTGTTCAGTGAAGTGTTTGTTGTCCGATCATAAAAAACTTTTGCAAAAGTGTTCGTTATTCGATTTTTTCGCTGTCCAAACTGTTTGTTAACCGATTGCCCACTGTATTTTTCTTTTTACTTTTTGTTTTATTTTATTAATTCATTATTATATTGAAATAAAGAAAACAGATTAAATAATAAATATTAAATAAATTATTAACCAAAGTTACATAAGTTAAGTTCACTAACAAGAAGACCCTATGGCTTTGGGGAAACAGATTTTGAAGATCTTTAGTGTGGAGGTAGTACATCATGTGAGTGTATTACCTATAAAATACTAAAGTGAACACTCAAATATAATCGAGAAAAACGAACTTAAAGTTTTCTTTAGCACTTTTTATATAAGTTACGCATACTCGTGCTTGAGCATGCTGTGGCATGAGTGGTAATGCTCCTGANTGCTACTAAAATTTTAAATATATATTATATTAGATTAGTAATTTCATAAGAAGAAATGTCATCAATATAATTAATTATAAGACTTCAATATTTTAGAATGCATTATACAAAATTAACAAATATTAAAAATAATGTATGCAATTTTAGTTAGTTGTTAAAAGAATTATTCCTGGTAATTAGCTTTTTTGTAAAGCAATCAGTTGTCTTTTCATGCTCATATGAGTGCTGTAGTTGAAATTAATTTCAAGAGATTTCTATGAGAGTTGGCCATCTAAATGTATAAGAAGGAACCACTACTGTGACTACACAAAGCTGCATAGTCACAGTAGTGGTTCCAGAAGACTCAAATGGGACTAACTTAAAAATTTTATTAACACATGCACAATAATTTTATTGAAAATGGCATAATAAATCATGTTTGTTCTCATAAATGTTTTGAAGTTCAAATTGGTTGTCAATTTGTGTCAATCACCTTGAATCTGCCATTGCATACAGACCTCATCTCTTCAGCTTCTCTGATTTAATTTGTGACAAAAAAGAAGTACACTAAATCCTGAATTCTTATTTTCTTAAATAAAAATCTNTATTAAATAAATTATTAACCAAAGTTACATAAGTTAAGTTCACTAACAAGAAGACCCTATGGCTTTGGGGAAACAGATTTTGAAGATCTTTAGTGTGGAGGTAGTACATCATGTGAGTGTATTACCTATAAAATACTAAAGTGAACACTCAAATATAATCGAGAAAAACGAACTTAAAGTTTTCTTTAGCACTTTTTATATAAGTTACGCATACTCGTGCTTGAGCATGCTGTGGCATGAGTGGTAATGCTCCTGATTCGTATGCTTGCATGCAATTCTCTTGTTGTGTATATTTTTTTTCCATTGTTTTTTAATTCATAAATACTTATAATGTATTTATTTATTTACTCATTCATTTATTTATTATTTATTGATTTTTTTTTGTTTTTTTGATAATTTTGTCTCATTTCAACAAAGTGGTTGTACGTCCAAGAATCAATCAAATGATATTTATCAAAAATAGTTCCACTACGTTCAACATCTTTTTCCCATAATTTTAAATTATCCATTTTTTTCAAATGATTACATCTGTTTTTTTGTAATGTTTGTAGTTTCCACCTAGGGTGGCTTTTGCTACTTTTAAAACTTTGATTTTATATTCCAGTGAAATATATTTCTTCATTCTATATTTTTTTCATCAGGTACATAGTCATCTGATGTGAGTCATCTTTAACTGCTTCAAAAGTTCCTTCTGTACACTTTTCTTGGGCATAAATCAATTTGTCATCAATTATAAAGTTTTTTCATTCAACACATCCAATGTATTATTGAATAATTCTGCCTATCAGCATAGCATCTTCAGATAGTGTATCAGATGTTGCAATTAAATTATTTTTGAAAAGTAAACTCTCATAATACGCATAATATTTGACTTTCCTGTTACACTATCATAGTTTTTATTATGTATTTTTCTTATTATTATTTGCATATTTATTTGTATTTTGTTAACATTGTATATTTTTAGATTTATTTTTATTTAATGTTAACCTTATGATAGCCTATAGGAGTGAGCTGAAAACATTAGTGAATAAAACTATTCTCTCAGCAAATGAATAGATGTGGTCAAAAATATAATTTGGTTAATGTTTAATTTGAGGAAAGTGATATTCACCCATCTCTAATATCTATATATATTATAATAATATAATAATATTTATTTGCATTTTGTTAACATTGTATATTTTTAGATTTATTTTTATTTAATGTTAACATTATATTTCATAAGTTATTTATTTAATTTGTTTCAATTTAAATTTGTATTTAGAATATTTCAAAGATTAAAATTTAAATGAAATGTTCTATTCATAAAACATTTTCTATAAATGGTTTTAAGAAATCTTATGATAGCCTATAGGAGTGAACTGAAAACATTAGTGAATAAAAATATTCTCATTTAATAAAAAATATAAATTTGACTTTACAAAGATAAATCTTTATATTGTAAAGTTGCATTGTAATCTTTGTAAAGTAGAATTTATATTTTTTATTAAATGAATAACACCGGCCATGTACTTGTATTAGTTTTTTACTAAAAATATTCTCTTAGCAAATGAATAGGTGTGGTCAAAAATTTGATTTGGTCAATGTTTGAATTTGAGGAAAGTGATATTCACCCATCTCTAATATCTGATAATAATGATATCATTAGTATTATAATCATTTAAATATATAAAATTACTTGTCCTGACTGACTGAGTCACTGATTGATTGATTCATCATCGCCCAGATCAAACCGCGGAACCTAAAGAGGTGAAATTTGGTACACAGTTAGGGTATGTCATGAAAACGCACACTAAGAAGGGATTTGTCAAAATTTTCCTCCAGGGGGGAGAGGGAGAGGATTAAGGCTTAACCGGAAGAATGGCTTCTACTGTACTATTTTAGATGCGATTTTCTGTTTTTATCTGCGTTTTAGATCTTGTGCCCACTTTCTACCTTTGCTATTCTCTTACTTGTTTCTAGGCCTTGATGAAATTTAAAATTTGGTATTAAAATGTTAACAAATATCCAATGGGACAGTTAAACTTTCACT